GCATCATACTGTCAGGAAGACACCACAGCAGAACGGTGTAGCAGAACGGGTTAATCAGACACTGCTAGAGAGAGTCCGATGCATGCTCTCTAATGCAGGGCTTGGGAGGAGGTACTGGAGTGAAGCTGTGTTAACAGCTTGTTATGTCATTAATAGGGGTCCTCATTCTGGAATTGATTCCAAAATTCCGTTTGAGATCTGGAGTGGTAAGTTGCCTAATTTTTCGAATTTGAAGATTTTTGGTTGTGTTGCTTATTATCATGTTATTGAGGGTAAGCTGGATCCACGAGCCAAGAAGGGGTGTTTTGTTGGGTACGGGGATGGTGTGAAGGGGTTTAGAATTTTTTCACCTTCGGAGGGTCGGGTCATTCTTAGTAGGGATGTTACTTTCGATGAAAACACCATGTATTCAATTAAAAATGCAGAGATTTCAGATTTGAGAAGGGAAGGAGACAATTTATTACAGACAGATGGGGTACTTGAGGTACATCAGTCTACCATTGCTGATTTACCTCGGGTACAATATATTGATGATGATGCTGATATTCCAGTGCCGGGTACTCCTGAACCTGAGATTACTCCTACTCATTCTAACTCTGGGGATGAGGTGGAGCAATCTAATCAGGGGTCATCTAGTCAACCTGACACCATTCTTGAGATGCCTAAACGAGTTATCAAGAAGCCTGTTAGATTGATTGAAGAGATGGAGGGAAGAAATTGCTGTGTTGATGCGATGACAGGTTATGCATTGAGTGTAGCTGATGATGTAGAGTCATTTGAACCTGCCACATATAAACAAGCAATTAGTTGTAGTGAGTCTGCGCAATGGCTTGCCGCAATGGGTGAAGAGATGCAGTCCCTTTACAAGAACAGAGTGTGGGAACTGGTAAAGGTACCGGAAGGGAGGAAGCTTGTGGGTTGTAAATGGATTTACAAGAAGAAAGAAGGGTTGTCGGAAACTGAGCAAATACGTTTTAAGGCTAGGCTAGTTGCTAAGGGGTTCAGTCAGGTAGAAGGGGTTGATTTTGTTGAGATATTCTCACCTGTGGTTCGACATACTTCTATCCGTGTGTTATTGTCAATTGTAGCACATTTTGATCTTGAGCTGGAGCAGTTGGATGTTAAAACGGCTTTCCTTCATGGCGATTTGGAGGAGGAGATTCTGATGAAGCAGCCCGAAGGATTCGAAGTTCCTGGAAGGGAACACTATGCCTGCAGATTGCTAAAGTCATTGTATGGACTTAAGCAATCCCCCCGACAGTGGTACAAAAGGTTTGATTCTTTTATGGTTTCACAAGGTTTTGACAGGAATTCATATGATTGCTGTGTGTATCATAGTAAGCTGGATAATGGTTCCATGATTTATCTTTTGTTATATGTTGATGACATGTTGGTTGCCACAAAGAATAAATCTGATATTGCTAGATTAAAGGAGATGCTTAACTCGGAGTTTGACATGAAAGACTTGGGTGCAGCTAGGAAGATTTTGGGTATGGAGATCTACAGGGATCGGGCTAGAGGTAAGCTTTTCTTGACTCAGAAAAGCTACATTGAAAAGATTCTGTCTCGTTTTGGGATGGAAAAATCGAAGCCTATAAGTACGCCAACTACTGTTAGTTGTAAGTTGTCTTTGTCTATGTCACCTCAATCAGAGGAGGAGTTGTCTTATATGTCTAGAGTTCCATATGCAAATGCGGTTGGTTGTTTGATGTATGCTATGGTCTGTACTAGGCCGGATATTGCGCATGCCGTTAGTGTTGTAAGCAGGTTTATGCGTGATGGTTCAAGAAGGCAGAGCACTTTTCATCTTCTTTTAGAAGATATTCTTGTTTTATATTCTAGTTTTGAGTCTTTTTCTTGGTATTTTGTTAAGCGTAGTGGTGACCGGATAGCGTATACTTTAGCTCACTTCCAACCTTGGGAGTTGGTCAAAGAGTATGGGTAAACGATGTTCCGGATAATATTTTTTCTTTGGCTTCCGATGATCTTATAATCTAGTTCCCTTTGAGAGGGGTTTAAAAAAAAAAAATTAGAAGATGGACTCCGTAAGATTTCTATCATACAGCCGTTATCGCAACGCGATGAAATTCAACTGAAAATTGGCAGCCTTGTGGTTCGATTGGGCAGTCGCCGCTCAATCGGGTTCGAGTGCTTGCGATTTCAGTATATTATATTCGCCTGATTGGGCGGCTGTTATCCCGATCGGTCCCGACCATTTTCTGGTTTGGGGCTGCTATGCTTGACGGTTATTATCGGTGGTTTTTGCTCTATAATTATGCACTATATATATATATACTCGTATATATGATGGAAGAAAGAGAATAAATGGGTATCAAAGTGACAGTAACTTCCATTTTCATTCTCTTGGTTTTGCAAAGGTTATTCAATTATCATCATCACAAATCACATACACTTATCTACATTGTATTGTAATCATCCTACTTGTGATTGCAATTGTTCTTAGTTGTATCTCCTAAGTAAATTTCCGTGATACCCGATTGTAGTATAGGGTCGGAATTATACTTTTGGGAAAGTGATTCCGTTCACGTCTCGAAAATTTTTAAGTTTATTTTCGTTTGCTTTTCTTTGTGACCCTTGTAAATACAAAATCCCTAACACCTTGCACACGGTGCAACCTGGTGTACTAGTCCGAAATATTGTTTACTAGTTGTTCCATTTCAAAATGTTTGTTACGTTTGGAATATTTGGTGCAAGGAGATAAACTTAAATCATGAAAAATCTTCATTATACACAAGAACAAAACATATTCATATAATATCTTCTTAGATTTGTCTAAAAGCGATAGTTTTTAAATATGAACTTTGTATAATTTTTTTATGGAGTATAGTGGAAGATATTTACGATTAATAATGTGCATTGAAAACGCTACAAAAAGCAAATGTAACAAGCATTTAATTTTGAAACGGATGAAGTATTTATTTAAAATTTTCAATGAAAGCATTTTGTGTAAGATTATTAATGTAAAATTACATTTTTGAATAGATAAATCGTATTGTTTTGCAAAATTTCATAGTGTATGAGATTATATGTCAAAATTAACTCCGGTTTTGGTTGCTTTGCAGTGGAGATGGAGTGCTTGAATTCTTAGACGTGTTATTTCACATGTCTGAGAGTTTAGATCAAAATTTCTCTACCCTTGGAAAGATCCCGAAGACATGCTTTTATCCTCTCTTTTTCTAAAGTAAGATGAGCTTTGTCATTGTTATCAAGATAATGGACAATTGAAAGTATTTTTCAACTTTTAATTTGAAATGATCACATCTGCACATATATATTGTTATTTAGATGGAGCAGACAAAAGGGGGGTGAATTGTGTAGGAACTAGAGTTTCAAAGTTTTGTGGAAATTAAAAACGTTTAATGCTATGGAACAAATAAAAGTGCAAGAGAGATTTGTACGTGAAACTTCTTGTGCCCAACAACCAACAAGAAGGAAAACTATGGCCACTTGGGATTTTCTAAATCGACTTCACTACATAGGCAGTACTATTACAACCTATTGGAACTCAACAAGAATTTAAGTTCCATTAGAACCTCAATCTACCCCAAATGCTCTTTGCAGCTTCAACCCCGAAGCTTGAAAACTCAAGACTCATTTCTAAGTCTCAACAAAAGATAATTCAACCTTTTTATAAATTACACAACTCAATATTAGATTAAACTCTAGTACGTAGAAACTCAAGAACAATTAGGAACTTGTAAACTCTTGGAAACTTGGAACTTGTGATACTAACTTAATTACGTGAAACAAACTATAGTACAGAGTATATGAAAATCTTTACACTTTTTTGTGTTGTGATATAGGGCATTTTCACATACGATTATTTTCAGCTCAGTTCAGTTTAGCTCTAATAAGTTCAGTTCAGTTCAGTTCAGCTCTAATAAGTTCAGTTCAGTTTAGCTCAGCTCTAATAAGTTCAGTTCAGTTCAACTCAGTTCAGTCAATGGGAACATGCCCTTAGATTGTGTTGGCTAACCATTTTTATAATATGTAGACTTAGATTGTGTTGGGTTACCATGTTGCTAGTGGTATAGGTCTAGCTAGCTCTGAGTCATGTGCACTTGACACGGGAAATAACTTGACATAACTCTCAACCATCTTTAAAGATTATTATCAAGCCAAAAAGATAAGATACAAGATATGTAGATCTTTGTATAATGACAAATAATTATACAATGATTATATTATTTATGTCCTTTTGTTTTTGCGGTTTTGATTTCTATGCTATTATTTAAGTATTCTCATTAATTGGCTAATTTCAAACGATCTTGTTTGATTCATTTTATGTGTTTGTGTTTTTATTTATCTCATGTTATGATTTGATTGTTGTTTGAGTTTATTTTTGTTTACTAATCTTCAATATGGACTTGTTTTCGGTATCATTAATTAAGTTTTGTCGATTAAGACCTCATTTCTCCTCACTGCCAATTGAACCAAACAAAAATCAAAATCAAAACTACATGTAAAAGAGGACATAGATAATTTTGAAATCTAATATAGACCAATTATAATTTTACTACTAGCAATAAGTAAAAGTATGTTTTATCCATCCAATTAGCATATGTTCAATTCGCTTTCTTAAAAACAAAGTCCATACAACCAATCCTGTTTCGGGGTTTTTTGATGTGTCCTGCGGGAGAGTTACAATTCCAAGAATGCCCTTCGACGCCTGTGCCTGCAAAATCACGAAGACTCCTGGGGGTAGGAGCTCCGCCTCCGACGATCAAGTTAGTAAAGATACGGGAGGTAGAATGCACGTAATGTAGAAGTTACTTCTCGCGTAATGGGAGAATTCTGCAATTAACGTTGCTCGGGGTAAGTGTTTTTCTTTTTGAGGAGTATTCAATGTGAACAACAAATGTTCCAGCCCCCCATTAATGAGGGTCCTTCCACTATTTATAGTGGGGAAGGGATGGTTTCCCTTTTAGGGTTTAGAGGACACGTGTCAGCAGAGGATTGGAGCCCTGCTGACCAACGGCTGGATGCCACGTGTCACTAGGCCATTGGGCCACGTGTTTAGGGTATTTTTACCCCAAACAAATCCCATTAATGATTTCTACAAATCTAATACTAGTAAATAAATTGATTATAAACTCTGAACAATTGTTTTCGAACCAAGTCAATATCAATTGTATTTATTTGATTAAGTCAAAAAAAATAAAAAAATAGTGAGATTAATTCAACTTTGTCAATAAACAATCCAGTCTCGTCCTCAACTTCTCATTCTATTCATCCTCATTTCCCCGCCAAACTATAAACAATTGCAATTTGCAACTTTCCACCAAAACTTGTTTCTTGATCAAAAACCCCTAATTCTTTCTATGTTGTTATCAACTATAAATTTCTCTGCAACAATTTTAATTTCGCCAAAAAAATTTCTACTTTTTTCTTGGATTTTAATGTTGCCAATTTCATCAAAATGGAGGATTTTCAAACTTTACAAGAGATCCGCTGTGAATCGATTCCAATTTCTTCTGGTTCTGATGCTCCCAGAAATGCTCTTTTCTTTCATCGGTTAGTTTAAATAATCTTCATTTCCTTTTTATTGAACAATTTTGATCAGTTTATTATTGTATGATGTAATTTTTTTTTTTTGTAAATTGGATGAAATTTTGTGGTATATGCTTACAGAATTTGAGTCTAAAGTTTTAATTTGTAAATTGGGAATTAGGGTATTTGAATTGTAGTTCAAATTTATGTTTTATGAAGTACTGTGATTACATTAGCAATGTATTACTTTCATTTACTACATTAGCAACTACAATTCAAATACCCTATGATTTTGTACGTAGTACAAAGTATTTTTCACAGTTAGCAGATGTTTACTAACTACAGAGTTTCTCAAAACTTGAAAAGAATTTTGCCTCCGTTACATATTATTTGCAACGATCAGACATTTTTCCTCTCTACTTTATGTCAGATCGTTGCAAATAATATGAAACGGACATAGTATATTTCTTGAAAGCTAAATTATTACTGTCACTAAAGCTGCGATTAACTATACACAGGTTTCCAGAACAAGGTACTGATTCCGTTGACCACGCTGACATAAGTTATTGTTCTATACACAGCAATGATGTTGCAACTGTACAGTGTATAGAATGTGTCAATAATGGATTGCCTGTCAAACACAGTTATCACTGCTCAAACAAGTGTTTTCGAGATGCATGGAAGAACCATATTTTGCATCATCATAGTGCAAATGTTAGCAATGCTTGTATCGAGGATAATGAAACACGGGGAACTCTAAATAGATGTAATTCTTGGCCACCTGGTGATATGGTGTCATGGTTTGATGAAAAGATAGAAGTGGTTATACCAACAGGGAGGATGTGGGTTAATAAGTTGGGCCCTTCAAATGCTTTAATACCATCAGCTGATGGTGTTGGATTTAGTTTTAAGCTCCAATCTGAAGCTGCAGTGTGTGCAGATGAGACCTTTGCTGTGACAGACCCTACCGTTCAGAGGCTAAATTTGTCGTCTCGTTCTCTTATTTGGTTACCAGATTCACCGAAAACTGAGAAGCATGACCTGACTAAAAAGGTTTCTAAAGCTGGCAATTTCAATGTTCTAACTTATAATATATTGTCTGACATCTATGTTTATGTGGACAAATATCCTTACTGTCCTGAATGGGCTCTAACATGGGAATACCGCCGAAAAAATCTGCTTCGTGAATTGATTAAGTATAATGCAGATATTTTGTGCCTTCAAGAGGTAATGACTCAGATTTTCATGGACATTTGCTATCCTACTTGTTTATGCTTGATACTGATAAGAGTGTTAGTCATGTCTGCAAAATTTGTCATACTGTATGAAGTGAATAATATCTTTACTTGTATGCAGTACTTGGAAAGGGTTAAAATTGTTATCATATATATTGTGTCTTATGCAGGTTCAGAGTGATCACTTTGAGAATTTCTTCAAGCCAGAGCTAGAAAGTTTTGGCTATTCTGTTGCCTACAAGAAAAAGACTAAAGAGGTATTTTTCGTTGTTTTTACTTCTTGTTATGGTAAAGACTGATCTTTTCTGCTTCTGGCTGGCTGCATTAGGATATTATTGGACTACTCTTAGACTCTTGTGTGCTAAAATGCATTCTTGAGTTTGAATAAGAATATATGTCTAGACTCTGGGGATGATCAATGAATCTACTGGTCAATAACATCTTTTTAAGAGTTAGTGTTGAGTGGCCCTTAGGCTATTCTTATGTCTTTTATTTTATTTATTTTACCCAGGTTTACACAGGTAATGGTTATACAATTGATGGATGTGCCACGTTTTACCGCAATGACATATTTAAGGAGGTCATGTCCTATGAGGTAATGTTGACCTTTTCTAGGGGATTTTGTGGACTTGTAAGGATGCTATGTTTATGATCTTTCCGCCCTTGGTTATAGCTTGAGTACAGTAAGTCTGCATTGTCACTTATGGAAAAACTGGAACCAGGCTTGAGGGATTATGCTAGAGTTCGACTGATAAAGGTCTATATTCTTATTTTGTCTGTTCGTGAAATCGTGTTGATTTGGATTTTTTTTCCTTAAAAATTAGAATTTTTTGTTTTCAGGACAACATAGCTCTTGCTGTCATATTGGAGGTGGTGGGCAATTTTGCTGATAGTGCTGCATCTTTTTCCAGACTCTGTGTGGTGCTGCTCAAATTTCTGTTATTTATTGATTGTGTTGGATACAGTTTGATTATTAGATGCTCAATTTTAGGTTAATGACCATATTTTTTGCATTTCCAAGATATTTCTTTCTTAATACGCAGGTTAATACTCACATATATGCTGGTAAGGGATTCCCAGATGTGAAGTTACTCCAGGTATGTTTAGATTTTGGTATTATCTCTATAATTCGATGTTGTCTTACAGAACCTTGACTTGAGGATGTTTTTGTACGCAAAGGTTTCTGATCTTGTCAATGAAATAGAAAAGACTATTGACTCAAAGATGCCTCTCTTTATCTGTGGGGATATGAACTCTTTTCCTGGAAGGTGAGACAACTACATTCAACATGAGGACGAATTGAATTTTACTGACATGGATTTCATGGTGAATAATGGGCTTTCTTGTTTGTATAAAAGTCTTAGCTGACAGTACTTGTTAATATATTTGACTGTGCCCATTCCAGCAGTTGCTAATACTGATCTACTTATTATTTGATCCATGCTTTCATACCTTTCAATGGTCTAAAACTCTAAACATCTTCTGTTCTAAACCTTAATTAGTTAATTTCCATTGTGCTTGTAAAATGCTTGTATGATACTACTAGTTTGCTACCCCTACCTGATTATGAGATAGTAATGAGCTGCTGTTGCATGAGTGCCTTTTTACTGAACAACTTGCTTCCAATTATGAAGTGGATTGTTATTGAACTTTATGCTTGCAAACCTATAAAGTTGCCCTTCCTGCTATCTGTCAGTCTTCAACTGATGACTTAACTTGCAGAAGTTGTAAGTTGTGATGGTACCTTGATGATTTGTTGGTAGCTTTTTAAAGACTGCATAAGTGGACCAAAAAAAAAACGAAAGAAAGATTATCTGTGAACTGGAGTTCTCATCAGATGTTAGGCTGTTAGCAAATTAGCCACTTACCATGCTCTCCACCTATTACAACTATTTTAAATTGATCAGAAAAAGATCCATTCAAAATCTATTTATATCAATCATGAATATATAGTTTCTCATGATCTGTTTCTTAGAAAAAGATCTGTTGTTGCAGTGATCCTTATGTTCTGCTCACAAAGCATGAGGTGGATATTGCATGTGCAGAGGCACCTGATCCACTATGTATATTTCAGCATCTCAAACTTCACCATTCAATGAAATTGGTAACTTCAGATTGATATTCTTGTATCTTTTTATGACTTTTGACACTATACCTCAATTCTTGTATGTATGCCGTTTTTGTAGTACCTATGTTGTGCCTGATGGTACTGATTAGCTGCTGCATTTCTCTTTATCCCAAAAAAAAATTCACCTATGAATATATTTTGTTACAGTGAGTACTTCATTGCAGGCCAGTGCATATGCGTCAGCATTTCTCAAGCCTCTCAATGATATCAAAAGAAGAAGGATGAAAATGAAGCATTCTAAAACAGGGGAGCCTCTTTTCACCAGTTTGACACCTTTTTATGGTAGCACCTTGGATTATATCTTTTACACAGGTATTCTTTCATATTATACCTTTGTCTCATTGTTTGCCAAGGTCTAAATTTGTTTTGTTCCCCTTCCTGCTATTTACGAAGTCATCTTTTCTTGATTCTTGGAAGGGGTAAGGTTGTGTGATTCCTAAACTTCCAGACCCTGCCATCTTCTTTTCAGGAGCCTTATCCAATGGATTGATGGTATAGATTGTTATCTTCTTCAAGAGTCATAACTTTTCCCAACCTCATAATCCACTTTATGATAAACATCACCTTTCTTTAGACTGTACACGTTTTCATTTGGGAGCACATAATCATAATTTTTTACATCAGGAACGTTGTTGCTATGCAGTAATACTGACTGGTACGTTGCTAGTCAAAGAATTTGCTGCTGAATGATTTTATTGACCTGTCTGTCGCTAGTTATTCATCGGTTTCTAAACTCACTCTACCAAAGATGTGCCATGTGCTAACCAACCTACATTATTTTTTAACTTCATTTATAACATTAAGTCACCATGCATTAAACTTTGATTAATTGCTGCTGTCTGATATATTCATCAACTTGCATTTACTTCTGCTTTATAAAATAGTTTTAGTTAATTCTATATTTTGTTCTTACAGTGGATAGCTTGGAAGTCGAAGGCCTCTTGGAGCTCCCTGAATTTGAGAGTGTGGGTAGAGCGCTTCCCTCCCCTTTTTGGTCATCAGACCATATTGCGCTCATGGGAAGTTTTCGAATTACAAGACCATTTCTTGGGTGAAATAGGAAGGTGCACATGATGGTATGTTTAGTAGCTCGTAAAGTTGCACTTAAACATCTAGTTAAAAATACATTATGAAAGTTGTGTTATGATTCCATATGAATGTATTTTTTTATTACATGTGTTTCACATTGAACATTGAAGGCTTTAGTAGTGTTGTCCGCTAGCCAAATGATGGACTTATGATCTTAGAACATCGGCGTATATATCCTAAAGTAACTACATATTCATCTGGTGTCTGATGTTTCCCAATTGGTTCTTTAAAGATCATCTCATGAAATCTAGATATCTAAGATGATAGAGCTCTTAATCATTTTCAGAGACTGTTTAGAGAGAGAAAGAGAAAGAGAAAGAGAAGAAGAAGTAAACTTGTGTCAAGATAGCAGCCATAGCAGCTTTGGCACAGCGAATGGTGTTGTGAGAGTCTGAATTTCTTCCACCATCATCTTTCGAAGGACCGCGTAAGTTTATTTAATTGGGAAAGGCGAGAATGAGGAGAGCACACGTTATTATACAATGCTAATTAATGAAATGGTGTTGAAGGCGAGTATGAAATTTCGGATTGGTGAAACATTTTCGTTTTGTGTTTGTGTTATGAACTTATGATGCAACTTCCTTCAAAGTTTTGTTGAATTTAATTTAAAAAGTCTGATTGCAGTTTTTAGAGGTGTCAATTGGCTCAATTCAATCAACTTACTCCTTATCTACTTTATAGTTTAACTAATAATAATAAAGTACTTTATAGTTTACAGAGTACTCCATCCGTTTTTAAATACTTGCTCCACTTTTTATTTGCGGCCGTTTTTAAATACTTGCTCCATTTCCTTATTTGGAAAGTTTTTACACTATTTAATCAATTTCTCTCATCTAATGGTCCCGACATATATTCCCTCTCCTCCAATTCTCTCTACTACTTTTGTTTTCTATAATTTTTTATTCTTCCACCAACTCCACTACCTCCATATTTTATTACTTTCTCTAATTTCTCCTAAAACTCCGTGCATGGAGAAATGGAGCAAGTATTTAAAAACGAAGGGAGTATATATTACTCCGTATTTTGTATATGGAGTAAATGAGATGATTGTTAAAGTAATAATTCCTTTTATTTCAAGAATCTACATAGGTTTTCTAATTTTTATTTTACATAGTTTTGTCTCCCATTTCCAACATAACTTTATGATGTGCACATTTTGTTGCTCTTAGCTTATCGGGTGCAACTAATAATAAATAATGCAAATTGATGTCATACTTCATTAATCCAAAATTTCAGACTTTTTTTTCTTAAATTTTATGCCTTTAACACACTACTACGTTGATCATTAGATTTTGTTTATAAATATACTCTCTCATTATTCTTACCTTCTTAATCAACAATCGCTGGTAATAATTGAATACCTAAGCAAGTAAGCATAAATGTATAATGTGGTTGTGTTAAAGCAAGCGGTAGCTAAATAAAATATTAAAAATACAAAACGAGATACCATAAAATTGCAAGGATTTTGTTTTTATTTTTATTTTTATTTTTTAAATTTATTTATTTATTTATTTATTTTGAAGAAAGAAATTTGTTTAATTACTTCCCAAAAATTTATGATTGGAAATGAAAGAAAAAGGGGAGAGCGCGTTCTATATAAGAACTAATAACGAAATGGTGTGTTTCCTTGAAGGCTAAGAAAAATAAGAAAATAAATAAAAAATAGTACTGTATGTTTTAATATATAGGGGGATTTGGTTATCAGACATATATTCAGACCTGCCAAATCATTGGATTATCATCTCTAAACAATGGAAGGCAACGAACCAAGTCAATAACATTGTATTAAATTTATTGATAAATTAACATAAAAAACAGAAAATAGTCAACAATCAATCTCGTAGTCAACTGGGCATTCTATTCATTATCATGACATCATTTCCCCCCGCCAAATATTAAACAATTGCAATTTGCAACTTTTTACTAAAAACAGGTTTTTAAGTGATCAAACAAGTAAACAACACCAAGTCTTTATTGTTTTTGCAAACAAAATCATCAAAATGCATCATCAAACTTTACAAAATATCCACTGTGAATCGACACCAATTTTTTCTGGTTTTGATGGTTCTAAAGAAGCTACTTGTATTTTCTTACATCGGTTAGTTTAAATGATCTTTGTTTCTACTTTTGAACTGCTGTGAATCGATAACATAGTTAGACTCAAATTAATTTCATCGATAACATCATTAATTTTCTGATATCTGATTGTTATTGTCAATACCATTAAGTTTACACAGGTTTCCAGAACAAGGTGTTGATAATGCTGACATACGTTATTGTTCTATACACATCAATGATGTAGCGACTGTGCAGTGTATAGAATGTGTGAAAAACGGATTGCCTGTCAAAAACAGCTACTACTGCTCAAACAAGTGCTTCCAAGATGCATGGAAGAACCATTGTTTGGATCATCGTAATGAAATTGTTAGCAATTCTTGCAACGAGGATGCTGAAGCAAGGGGAATTCTGAATAGATTTGATTTTTGGTCACCTGCTGATATGGTTTTAAGGCCTGATAAAATTGTAGAAGAGTTTATTAAGCGACAATTTGAAACTGCAGTGTATGCAGATGAGACCTTCGTGACAGACCCTGTCATTCAGAGCCAAAACTTGCTGTCTCCTTCTCTTTGTTGGATTCCAGATTCACTGAATACTGATATTACTGAGGTTGGCAATATTACTGTTCTAACTTTTATAATATGTTGTCCGAAATCTATGTCTATCCGCACAACTATCCTCACTGTCCTAAAGAGTTTCTAGAATGGAAATACCGCGGGGAAAATCTGCTTCATGAATTGATACAATATGACGCCGATATTTTGTGCCTTCAAGAGGTAATGACTCAGATTTTTCATGAATTTGCCATCCTACTTGTTTAAGCTTGACTTACCTGTTAGTCATATCTGCAACATGTCGTATATTGTGTTTTTGGCAGGTTCAGATTGATCACTTTGTGAAATTCTTCAAGCCAAAGCTAGAAAGTTTTGGCTATTCTGCTACAAGAGCAAGAATAACATGGTATTTTTCCAAATTTGTCACTTTTCCTTATTGTTGTGCTAAAGACTGATCTTTTCTGCTTCTGGCTGGCTGCATTAGGATATAATTTGACTTATCTTCTTAAGAGTTAGTGTTCAGGGGCTCTTAGGCTATTCTCATGCCTTTTGTTTTGTATTTACCCAGTTTTACACAGGTAGCGGTTATACCATTGATGGATGTGCCACGTTTTACCGCAATGACAAATTTAATGAAGTCGAATCTTATCAGGTAACATCAACTCTTTCCAGGGGATTTGGTGGACTTATAAGGATGGTGATACATCATGTTTATGATCTTTTTCCCCTTGGTTATAGCTTGAGTATGGGATGCCTGCATTGTCACTGATGGAAAAGTTGGAACCGAGCTTGAGGAAACAGGCTACAATTCGATTGGTTAAGGTCTATAATCTTCTTTTGTTTGTTCATGAAATGGTGTAGAATTGGATTTTTGGATTCCTGGTAATCAGAAACTTTCGTATGCAGGACAATGTAGCTCTTGCTGTCATATTGGAGGTGGTGGGCAACTCTGCTCAGAGTGCTGCATCTTCTTCAAAATTCTGTGTGGTGCTGCCTGAATTTCTGACACTTTTTTTTATTAGATGCTCAATTTTAAGGTTAATGACCATGTGTTTTTCATTTTCAACAAATTACTTTCTTAATGCACAGGTTAATACTCACATATATGCTGGTAGGGGATTCCCAGATGTGAAGTTACTCCAGGTATGTTAGGATTTTGGTATTATCTCTATATTTTGATGTTGGCATCCAACATTGACTTGAGGATGTTTTGTATGCAAAGGTTTCTAATCTTGTCAATGAGATAGAGAAGACTATTGACCCAAGAATGCCACTCTTTATCTGTGGGGATATGAACTCTCATCCTGGAAGGTGAGACACCTAAATTCAGCATGAGGATGAGATTTTGAATTTTTCTGACATGGATTTCATGGTGAATAATGGGATTTCATTTTTTTTTACATGAGTATTAGCTGACAGTACTTGTAAATATATCTGATTGCGCCCATTCCAGCATTTGCTAATGCTGATCTCGGCTTATTTGATCCATGCTTTCAATGATCCTCTGCACTAAACCTTAATTTCCATTGTTCTTGAAAAATGCTTGTATGATACTGTTAATCTGCTACTCAAAACTTATTATTAGATAAAATGAGCTGCTGTTGCATGAGTGAGTTTCTACTGTATTTCTTGCTTCCAAATTTGAAGTGGATTCTATTGAACTTCTTGCTTGCATGCCTTATAAAGTTGCCCTTCCTCCTATCTTTCAGTCCTTAACTGATGAATTAACTTGCAGAATTAGTTGTTAGTTGTGACGAGACCTCGATGACTTATTCTGATGGTTCAAGTCCAAAAGAAGAAAAAAGAGCTTAGTTACAGTGACTGTTTGTGAATTGTCACTGCTCTGTATTTAGCAAAATTTTGACAGGCTAATTGCTGTTTACTTTTGTAATATGGGAGTGATAATTATTGTTGACTGAGGTAATTAGCTCATGCTCTCCACTTATTACAACTTCAAATTGAGTAGAAAAAGATCCATTAAAATCTATTTATATCAGTCATGAATATATAGCTTCTCATGATCTGTTTCTTACAAATGATCTGTTGTTGCAGTGATCCTTACGTTCTGCTCACAGAGCGTGCAGTGGATATTGCACGTGCACAGGCTCCTGATCCACTACGTATATTTCAGCATCTCAAACTTCACCATTCAATGCAATTGGTAACTTCAGATTTGAAATTCTTATATTTTTTATGACTTCAACTCTTGTATGTACGGCATTCTTGTTGTAATTATGTTGCGTCTGATGCTACTGATTAGCTGCTGCATTTCTCTTTTATCCCAAAATATTTTCACCTATGATTATATTTTGTTACAGTGAGTTTCTTCATTGCAGGCAAGTGCTTATTCTGTAATAGGGGTGGAGCCTCTTACCACTTTGGATTATATCTTTTACACAGGTATTCTTTCAGATTCTGCCTTTGTCGTATTGTTTGTCAAGGACTCAAGGTCTGTAATTTCTCTGTTGTGTCCCCCTTCTTGCTATTTACAAAGTCATCTTTTCTTGATTCTTCGAAGGGGTAAGGTAGTGTCGTGGTTCCTAAACTCCCAGACCCTGCAAATCTTCCTGTTCACGAGCCTTATCCAATGGATTGATGGTACATATTGTTATCTTCCTCAAGAATCATAACTTGCTTTATTCAATTACCTTAAAAACCGCAAAATTTTAGAAACGAGCACTTGATTTTGGGACAGAGGGAGTATATGTTATTAATCTCACCCTACCAGAGGTGTGCCATGTGCTATCCTACCTATTGTAATTAAGTCACCATGATATAAACTGTAATTAATTGCCATTGCTGGCTGATTTATTCATCAGATTGCATTTACTTCAGCTTTAAAAAATAGTTTTAGTTAATTCTATACTCGTATTTTGTTCTTACAGAAGATAGTATGGAAGTTGACTGGCTCTTGGACCTCCCTGACTTTGAGAGTATGGGTATAGCGCTTCCCTCCAATTTGTGGTCGTCAGATCATATTGCACTCATGGGAAGTTTTCGAATCACAAAACCGTATTATGGTGAAGTTGCGTATTTCATGGTTCATATGATGGTATGTCAAAAAATATTATGTACCCTGGTGAATAAAACTGCATTATAACATCTACTTCTTCTGTTTCTTTGTAGTTGCAGATACATCACTTTTGAAAAGTGGAAGTTTAAAATTAGATGCATCACTTTCTTTTTTATATTTTCGCATCACGTGTTTTTTATTTCTAACTCTTTATTTCCTCATCTCCAAAAATCACTTGAGAATCCATGTTTTACAATTGATACAACTTAAAAAAACAGATAAAGTAGTAAAGATTTCTATCATAGAAACTGTG